CTCCCCCGTCGCCGGCAGCCTTCGCCTGGGACCCTGGGCGGGGGAGCCGGTCGGGAGCCTCGCGATGGAGCCCGCTGCACCCCGCGCCCTGCCCGGGCCGTGCTCGTCACCCCGGCCCCCGTGTCCCGGAGCACGTCCGTGTGTAGGGGCCGCACCTGGGATCGGGGGCAGCCCGTGCACTCGGAATCCCTGGGGTACCCCGCGGCGGAGAACCGCGCCCGGGCAGCCGGGTAGAAGGGTTCGGACGGGTGCCCGGTGCTGGGGCCCCTGGAGGTTAGGCGCCCTCGCCCGACCTGGGGCTTTTCCTGCAGTGCGTGGGCTCCCTGCCGTCACCTCTCGCATCCGAAGGCATGTGTGTTACAGCATAGTCCAGCGATTGTTCACCAGCATGACCCTGAGTCATCAGTTAACCCAGTTCGTAGTCGGTTCCTCCTCCCTTGCTTAAGAGGACAGAAAGTGGGTTCATCCATTTTAAGATGTCTCATTGAAAATCAGGTTTTAAAACGTACCCTCTGGTGCTGAAGGAAGTAAGTCCTGCCTCCGTCTCGAATGACAAGTAGAGGTTAAGTTAACATTGCCTTCTAATGTTGATGTTCAAGCAAAAGTAGACCCTTGAGGCTTTGGCTAACTTAAAAGTAACTTTTCGCGTACTTCATCCTTTCTTTTGGCACTATTGAAAGCATAGTGTGCTTTAGTCTGTGGAAATAAAAGTTGAACAAAATATAAGCTCTCCACTGAGGAATGTGTAGCATTTCATGTCAGGGCAAATAAACATGTACGCTGGCAGAGGTTGGACACTAAAAGTAACAGAAGCGGGGATAGGTTATTAAGGAAGTCTCCAGACGAGAGGGAGGTGACTGAGGAGACCTTTGGGTTATCCTCACAGTCTTGAGAATGTGAGGGCAGACACTAGTGTTGTCTAAGGGCTAGGTGTATATGTCACAGTGACTGGCCAAAGGGGAAGGTGGAGGCTCTCCCCAGGAGACCTAGCAGGAGTAAGGGTGTGGGTCCCAGCTTCTGTGCTGGACCTGTATTGTGAACTGCAACGGATCTAGTGAGCAGAGATACAGACTTGAGAGGCATCATCATCTAGGAGTTATTAAAGCTGTAGGAGTGGACAGACAGCAAAGAATATGCCGAGTGCGCGCTCTGTGATAGGTGAGAAATAGCAATGAGTAGGTCCCCTGATTTCAGTCTCTGCACCGGACAGGCCCCTGCCAGCTTGGCCAGGACCTGCCAAGCTGGGTTTGGGAACACGCTAGATTTGGGGCCCCAAGCTGGGTTTGGGTGGAGAGGAGCTCTTCCCTATGGCAAGTCACTGGAGGATGACAGAGCAGAGGCACACTGCTGGAATAGCTGAGGGGTAACTGTCAAGAGATGGGTGTTCTGGCCGCACAGATGGCCACTGCTGGCCAAGCCACGTTGCAGAAGCTTTGTAGAGAGTCTGGTGTTTCAGCTGGATCTTTCTACACAAAGCAAGTCAGGGGAGGTAGAGAAGATATTTTAGGTGGCAGAACTGGGTGTGCAGGTTGGTAGAGCAGATGGTAAGGAGTGCCCAGAAGGTACAGAGGTGAACTGAGACTTGAGTGTGAGCATTGTGTGTCAGTCTACAGCTTGGGTTTTTTCTTGGGAAGTAATAGAGAATGGTATTCTAAGTTAGGGCAGTGATGTGACCGGCTTTACTTAAAGGAAACAATAAAAAAGCATAGTTTCCACTCCTGCATTTAACGCGAGCAGAGAGAACAGAAATATCAACCAATGTTTATTGTTGTGCAGGATACCATACTGGGCACTGTGAAGAATACTAGAAGACAGTAAATAAATCGTCAGTCCTCTCAAGAGGATGGGAATGACCAGCAGCATGCGCTGGTGAAGAAGCACTACGTAAACGGTGCCCACTGGAGATGGCAGGCAAACTGGAAGGAGGTGTTTATTCATTTTAGGCTGAAAAAGTCAGGGAAGCTGTATTAGGGTGACGGCAGGGTGGTTCCTCCAGCGGCCTCTGCTGGACTTGCGGGTGGTCTCTTCTCTGTGTCTTCATAGGCTCGTCCCTCTGTGTGTGCTTTTGTTCTGATCTCCTCTTAAGGACTCTGGTTCTGTTGGATTAGGGAGCATTTTAACTTAGTTGTCTCATTTTAGCTGAGTTACTGCTATAAACACCTCATCACCAAATGTCATCGTGTTCTGAGGTGCAGGGGCTTAGGGCTCAGGCATGCAAATGGGGCTGGGATGGGGGCACAGCTCAGCCCTAATAGAACAAGTCCTCTCAGGGGACTTGGAACTTGAGGTGGGCTGTGGAGGAGTTAGGCATAGCCTCGGACCTACAGATCTGAGCAAGTAAGGTGGGAAGGGACGTGTTATCAGAAGCAGGGTGTTATCACAGTGAGTAGCTGAGGGAAAGAATTTTAAAAGCACTGGTAATTGGAAAGCCAGTTTTTAGAAAGCCTTTGGAGTCTATGCTTTTTTTTTTAAAGTTTGCATTTTAGCCTAGTGGAGAGCCATTGCTATTACTGTTTTGTTTCTGATCAGGGCGCAGGCTGGCTCTGCTCATTCAGGTCTTAGGTCTCGCCAAAAAAAAAAAAGACAAGAGAACTTTCCCTGATCATTCTCCACAGCCCTCTACTGCAGCAGCCCACCAGCCTTTATTCCCACCTGGGCACTTAGCACGTTGGAGGTTATCCTTTACCTGTTTGTTTTCCTGGTTATCATCCAGTTCAGCTCACGAGAAAGTGACAGCTTTGTTTGAGCACACCGTATTTCAGATGCATCTAACCACACCTTCTCATGAGAAGAGTTTGCTAAATAAGCTGAACCTCTAATAGTGGTCCCGGTGATGTCTGTGGGAGGCCTGGTCCAAGCTTTGCTTCAGGCCGCTCAGTCTAGCAACAGCATTAAAGGAGGGCTTGGGAGACGTGACAGGAAGGGTGAAGGCCACGTGGAAATGGATTAGTTAGGGTTCTGTAGAAAGGAGAACAGAAACTGACCAACCGGCTTGAATTGAAAAAGAAATGTATTGTAGAAAAACGATATTGTTCTTAGAGTTTAAGGGAAAGCTTGAGGAAAAGCACAGGACTGGAAGGACCAAAAAAACCAGAGTGATTCAGGAATCAGTGCGTCGGGGCCAGTGGTGGTTCTTCAGGCCCTGCTGGGATGGATCAGCCCCCTTCTCTGTGGCCTCTGTCATTACCCTCAAGACCCATATTCCAGGGAGCGGGGTTTTGTTGGCTGGGCACTGGGTGTGTACCTGCCGCGTCAGACTGTGCTCCCCAGCTGCCGGGACCCGTGTGCTGCTGCAGTGTGGCGAGGGGGCTGAGCTGTGTGGTCTGGAGTCACCCCGGAATACACCCTTGAGCCAAATCCCCCGGGGAGGGGACAGAGGAGACTGCAAATTGGAGAGGTGGATACCGGTAGTATCCACCTGACTCCGGCTCCTGCTGAGGACCCTCGGTGAGCCTGCTTGTGAACCCGGAGGCCCGTAGATGTCTTCTGGATGTCTGCACTGTCGGCAGGTGTGATGAGGAGACTGGACCCGTGGTCAGCTTCCTGCCACCCTGAATAGTGAAGCCAGAGGGGCAGAATGAGGGCGGAATCCAGAGGGAGGCGTGTGTTTCTGCCCAGAGTCAAAGGCGGGTGCTGTGCATGTGCGGTGGGTGCTCAGCTGTGTTGCATCAGGGTCATTACGCAGTCCCGGCATGCCAGAGGGTCAGCATGGCCAGAGTGCAGTGTGGGGTGACACTCGGGACGTGAGGGCCCCTTCCCTGTAGAACCCTGCGCAGGAATTCTTGAGCCGGTCCTAGAGAGAAGCTGCCCTTTAGCACTCCGTAGCTGTGATGCCATCGTCAGTTTCGTCTCTGAAACCTGAACGTAGCTCCAGCACTGCAGTCCTCTCATCTCTCACTCCCTCCCTCTGTCCTTGTGCTGAGTAGCTTTCTTCACGTCCCTCTGCTGCTGTCCCCGGAATGCTTTGTATGCCAAATTGCCACCTTCCCTCCATTCCCTCAGAAATCTTCACTTCCTGCAGCTGATCCAGCCTTGGCATAAGGATGAGAGTATTGGGTTAAATTAGGGTATATTAAGGTCTGGGTGCCCCACCCCGCTGTTCAGTGTGCCGGAAGCATTTGAGGTGGTGGTATGAAATAATTTCCTGGATGCAGCCATAAGGCTTCAGGGTCATTCTAGGGAACTGAACTGGTGGCCTGGGTGAGCCTTCAAGAGTTAAGCCCCGAGAAGATGAGACAAGTGCTCCTCACTCTGACGTCTACAGTGGAAGTGTGGAGAAGGGAGCTTTGGGTCTACTGTAATTATCAAGTGGGAGCCTCGGGCCTTCCCTGACAGCTCCTCTAAGCCCAGCACCACCCTCTGCCCCTGGCCACCTTGAGAGCTTTCTGAAATCGGTATCCGCCTCGCACTCTGCATTCTGCACCAAAATGTTGTCCAAGGTGGCCGGCTTGCTCACCACTCTTCAGAGCACCCCGCTATACACGGAAGGAGAGGGGGAAGGCTGAAGTGAGGCATGTGCCGGCCAGGGGTTATGACTGCAAGCCAGTGTGCTTTTGCCGGAAGTCCCTGTGGTGGAGGTAGTGTCAGCTGCACTTGTGAGCACACTTGGAGAGGTCAGGTGGTCCGTAGAAACGACCCATGGAGTTGGTGGCAAGTAGTCTGAGAGGTTTTTCCATGGGACTGTCTGGTCTCCCTGGAGCTATTAGCCTTAAAGAGTCTCGTACTTCGGGATTTTGGGGAAGCAACATGAAACAGACAGCTCTGGCAGTTTTGGACAGGGTTTGTGTGCAGGGTCCAAGTGGTCTGCTGGCCAGCTGTGTCAGAGTGTGGTTTCCCGGAGGTTCCTCTCAGCTTGTCCTGATGCCCAGAGGAAAGCCTTGCTTCCGCATCATACCGTGCTCCCTGATTTTGCTGCTCTGGCCACTGCACTGGTGCTTGTGTGTTGTCAAGCCAGGAAACTGAGCAGTGGCGGTGGAAGGAGCCATGGCCAGCCTTGGTGACCTGTGTCAGACCTGGGGTGCCCCGTCTTTGGTAGGCCAGAGATGCCATCTCGTAACTGAACCTGGGGGAAGATGGGGTTCCCCAGGTCTGGAACCTGCAACTGCACCGAGGGAAGAGCACGCTGAGCCGCGAAGCGGGCCTCTTCTGAGGGCTGCAGAACGGAGCAGCAGAAGAGTCCTGAGAGGCCATCTGCCCTCCACTGGCCACAGAGGCTGCGGGTCATCTCCTGACATGCTTTCACCTGTGCTGTCAACATAGCAGTTGATGTTTTCAGCTTAGTCATTAAACTCAATAAATACATACATCTGTTGGGGTGAAAGTGGAAATCCACAGTGTGAACTGTTTGCAGCTAGCCTAGGAAAGGGGCCGCTGTCTTCTGGCCCTAATAATCAAATGCAAATGTCAAAGCAAGGACCTTCCATGAAGGAGGTGTCCACACCACCTCCCAGCAGCTTCTCCCCCGCCCAGGCTGGAAGCTGTCGCTGTGCCTCTGATCTCCAGCAGCCTCACTGTAGACCCTTGCCTCCATCTTCCTCTCCACCTTGGCCTGCTCCTCGCTGCCCGTCCCCTTTGCTCCAGCCGGACCAGACCTCCTCTTGCAGCTCCTGCCATGCCTCAGGCTCTGTCTTGTCTCTGTGACGCTGCTTGTACTGCCCTTGTCCCTTAATAACCTTTGCCTTCCTCTCCACACTCCCTGATTGCTCTCTTGGCTGCAGTTTCCCCCGGGGTCTGGTGGCCTCGCCAGACTGCGTGTCTCTCTGGCAATCTGTCTGCCGCCTACACACTGGACTGCGCCGGCAGGCTACCTGAGCCTGTTCCAGTGCAAGGCTTCAACCCCAAGAGGTAGGCCGTGCTCCTTGGGTTCACATCCTCCTGTCAGGTAGGGTTGTAGAACGTTCTGGGTGGATCCCACCCACGAGGCACGTGCAGTGTGATGCCTTCAGGAGCCCCGGCACGTCTTCACCATACCAGCCTGAAGACGCCTTATCTTGCCTAAGCGCCCAGACTCTCGGACCACAGCTGTCTTTGTGGCCACAGGCGGATAGTTGACCTGCCAGTTGCTCATTTTCCCAGCTTGTCAAACAGGGATGGTGACCTGTCTCTCAGAAGGTTCTGGGAGAGTTAGAAGAGAAAACCAGGGTAGGTTTAAGAGCTCGACCTCTGAGCATGCTCCACTGCTTAGCTGTGTGGTCTCCAGCAAGTGCCTTACCCTCTGTGCCTCAGTCTCCTTGTGTGTATAGCGAGGACAGCGGTAACACCCAGCTTCCCAGGGCTGTGCAAGTCCTGTTAATGAACAGAAGGTATTTGTGTGCATTGGCTATTTCGAGTATACCATCAGTGTTTGCCTGGGAGGAATGGAAAGTAATATTGTACAGGTCCAGTGCTGTGGCTTGTCAGGGCCTCGGACTTCTGGGGCTGGTAGGCTCACTCATGACTCCATGGAAGTCACAGCCAAAGGAATGGTTTCAACCCCTGTGAATTTTCTTTTATTTATTTATTTATTTATTTATTTATTTATTTGTCTTTTTGAGACAGGGTCTTGCCATGCAGTTTGGGCTGGCCTTGAGCTCACTTTGTAGCCCAGGCTAATCTCGAACTCACAACGATTCTCCTGCTTCAGCCTCCTAGCTGTTGGGATTACAGGCATGTGCCACTACACCCGGCCACCCCCCCGCCGAATTTTCAAGGACAGGCGGTATTTGTCTATAGCTTGACTTTGTGACTGTTATTTCCTGATTCCCAGATATTTTTGTTCAGAGAAGGTGAAAGCCTGTGCTCCATGAGATCAGAAGCAGTTACTTAGAGCAAGAGCAGGGCTGTGAAGAAGGAAGAAAGGAACCTTTCTAAGCAGTAAGCAGTGAGAACAGTGTTGCTTGTGGTCTGAGGAGTGCCTGGCTTCGTGTCCAGGATGTGGCCATCTCATGGCTTGGCCCTCACACGTCCCTTAGCTGCATCTGTGCTTTAAGTCTCTCTTGGTGTGTTGGGTGCCCTGCAGATCAGGCCCAGATGCAGGGTCTGGATGTACACATTCATATGGGAACGCATGTTTACATGGATTCTAGGAAGCACAAGAAAGGAAGTCGGAAGGGGCCCTGCAGAGGAGGGCGGCCTCACAAACAAGGTGTCGCTCATGTGTGGAGTGGGGAGCAGAGTTCACGTGGAGCACCCTGAGCTCCCACCCATTAATCTGTACCGCTGTCCCCCTGCTGTCCCCGCATCCGTGCCGTTAAAATCCCTAGTGGCCGTGCCTTTGCTTCCCTGCCGCCGCCTGGTCCCGGCCCCCTAGTGGCGGCCGCAGATTCCTGCCAACCCCGCCAGTCCTGTGTCCCATGGTCCGAGCCGCTGTGTTCACTGTGGAAGCATAGTTCAGGCTCTGCATCCCTCTGCCCGTGTCCGGTGCCCTCCAGACCTGCACACCCGGGTCTCCTTGCTGCTTCTGGACCGAGGCCTGCGCTTCTGTTCCACCTCTGCTGTGCCGTCCTCCCCTGGACAGCCACAGGCTTGTCCACGCTCCCAGAGTCTCTCGGGTGCCCTTTGCGAGTGGTGAGCAGCACGGGAGGCCCCTGCTGGTGTGGGGGTGTTGTAGCTGCCAAGTCAGCAGTAGGTGGTGTCCCCCTCGCATTTGGTGCACACGGTGGCGTTGTGTGCAAGCTGCTGTTTTGTGTTGGTGCCCGCCGAGGCTCACGGAGGTGGGCTTGCTGGCACACTGGCTGTCCGGCTGTCTTAACTGCGACCTGCAGAGAAGAGCAGTGGATGTTAGATCTCACCGGGCACACACTTGCAGGGGTACCTGTGTCTGTAACCAAATCAGGACTTTCAGCTCTTACTTTCAGCTCTTTCTCCTCCGTAAGTAGATTCCCATCTCATAGCTGAACCTGTTGGGGGTTTTAATTGCTGCTTTCCAACCACTAGGTTGAATTTAAAGACCCATTTGACAAATCACCTCTCCAGCTTTTGCTTCTGCATCTGTTGCTTTTCCCTGTGGCAACATCTCAGAAATTCTTAGCGTAGCACGTTGCCCTGCGCACCCAAGTCAGGCCCATGGCGCGGTAAACTGACTCCTTTTTCTGCTGAGCTCATTAGGAGAGGGTTTCTACACAAACATGTGTGATTCTTAGACTGTCACGGGGTAAAGGAGAAGTCCCTGTGGCGAACAGAGAAGACAGCGGCAGGAAGCACCTCTGCCACGCAGTCACAAATGGGGGCAGGAGCGAAGGGGGCTCTGGCAGGCTCGGCCCAGTGCTGGTGTGGGGCCGGGCTGTGGGCATCATCCGCAGAGGCAGAGCTGCACCCCAGTCAGTTCCTGACCCTGGTGGGAAGCAGGAGAGGTACCGAGTGGTGTGTGCCGTGTGGCTGGCTCGTGGCTGGCAGCGCCATTGGTTCCTCTCTCTGGGCTCCTCTGAAGAGCCTGGTGCTGAGAGAGAGCCCACAGAGTGCTGGTCCATCTGCAGCATGCCTGCTCCAGGATGTGAGGCTGTCACAGATGTTCTTGCTCGTTCTGGTTCCATTCTAATAGCAAAATAAATGTCATAACAGTTTTTTGTGCGTATAGTTCTGGTGATGAAGCCCAAGGCCTCATTCAAGCTGCACCGGCCGTACCACCACTGAGCTACATCGTGAGTCCCCTAACAGTATTTTAAAGAGAAGGTTGCGGGGCTGGGGATTTAGCTCAGTGGCACAGGGCCTGCCTGGTGAGCTCAAGGTCATGAGTTCGATTCCTGGTACCGGAAAAAAAAACAACAACAACAAAAAGAAAGCAAACCAGGGCTGGGGAGTAAGCTCAGCGGCAAAGCCCCTGCCTGGCAAGCGCAAGGTCGTGAGTTCGGTTCCTGGTACCGGAGAAAAACCAAAAAAAAAGAAAGCAAACCAGAGGCGCCTGTTAATAGTGGCAGACCCATGGAAGGGTCACCTTCTGAGCAGAGCCCAGGAGTTGCCTCCGGCATGGCCTGTCTGCGAAAAGTCTCTCTGTCTTTTCAGCATGTCTGGATTGTTTTCTTTGATACTAAATGAAATTAATCCTGTTCTTTCTGAAAGTTAATGCACATTTGCTGAGTGTTTAGTATGCTTTAGGTGCTTTGCCGAGACATCCTGGCTCAGCCCCACGGGAGGGCAGTGTTCATCCAGCTCCACACAAGGGACCTGTGCAGAGGTGACAGATGTGACTGGGATGTGGCTGGCGGAGGAGCGGGCAACTTGAGCTGGGAGCAGGCACCAGGTGCCAGGGCACATGCTGACCCACCAGGCGCCCTCAGCTTGGCTGTGGATTGGGGGAGTGTTTCCGAGAAATCGCAGTTGAAATCTCTTAATTCAGTTTAGAATTTAAGTTTTCTTTGCTGTTGTTGAAAATGTGGTTTGATGAGATAATAGTATTCGGGAGGTTGCCAAGCAATTAGTGTAAGAAAGAAAGCACTTTCCTATTCTTTAACACTTCCAACCTTAGTTAAACACAGGTTCAACTAGCAAATGATTTTTCTCTTTCCAAACTCTTGCCCATTTGTAAAAGTTTAACAAGACCTCTCCTTTGCAGCTTGTTGTTAACATTTCGCTGAAGTACACATGTTAATGAAACTCATTTAGAATTACAGACTTGGGGGCTTTAATAATTCTTACTTATTTTCTGAATTTCTCAGAACCAAGTATCAAATGGGTAAAGACCCTAAATGCTAAACATTTATTTTCATATAACAAATATCATATATCACTTCTGTATCTACTTGCCAAGTTCTAGCAACCTTTGATGATATAAGAATGCATATTATGGTCTTCGGGTTTTTTGTGTGTATGTGTTGTGGTGCTGGGGATCAAACCCAGGGCCTTGTGCATGCAAGGCAAGAGCTCTACCGCGGAGCCACGTCCCCAGCCCCCTGTTATGGTCTTAGGTTCTGAAAATTCTTCACTTTATAGCTGATGGTCTGCCTGAACCTTGAGGCCCGTGATTTCTTGTTTCAGGAGGGTGGCTCAGACAGCTGTCTGCCCAGTCTGCTGCCCACCCACACTGGCCCTGTGGACCGACAGCTGGCACCCCTGCCCTCAGAGCCCTTCCCTCTCCCAAGCAGTTTGCTGCCGTGTGGTGACAGTTTCACCTCTGTCTTTCAGATAAGCCCGTGCAATGGAGGGGCTACTGCACTACATCAACCCAGCACACGCCATCTCCCTGCTTAGCGCCCTCAACGAGGAGCGCCTCAAAGGACAGCTGTGCGACGTGCTCCTGATTGTCGGGGACCAGAAGTTTCGAGCCCACAAGAATGTGTTGGCTGCTAGCAGCGAGTACTTTCAGAGCTTATTCACAAATAAGGAGAACGAGTCACAAACCGTCTTTCAGCTTGACTTCTGTGAGCCAGATACTTTCGACAACGTCCTGAACTACATTTACTCCTCATCCTTGTTTGTGGAGAAGGGCAGCCTCGCCGCCGTGCAGGAGCTGGGGTACAGCCTGGGCATCTCCTTCCTGACCAACATCGTCTCCAAAGCCCCGCAGGCACCCTTCCCGCTGTGTCCCAGCAGGAAGAGAGTGTCTGCAGACGAGGATGAGGCCGGCTCTCAGAAGCGCAGCGTCATTGTTTGCCAGGGCAGGAGTGAAGCGCCCGGGAAAGCCGTGGGTCTAAACCCCGCCGACCTCAGCCCCACTTCCCGGCTGTCCCCCAGCATCACAGGCAAGAACGGCGCCAGCAAGCCGCACAGCCTGAAGCCTGCAGAACCGCTCCCCAGTCTGTCTGTGCCTGAAAAGAGCTGGCCGAAAGACGGCACCTCGGGGTTTGCAAAGACCCTGGAGCATCCTGCAGAGGACCCGAGTAGGAGCAGTTTGGTGAAGAGAAATGCAGCACAGCCCTCCAAGCCCCCGCATGACAGGGAGGCCGTGGATGACAGGCCAGTGGGGAGCGGTCAGCTTCCAAAGGGTAAAGCTATAGAACTGGCCCTGAAAAGGCCACGGCCGCCAGTCCTGTCCCTTCGCAGCTCCTCGGAGACACCCTATCTTTTAAAGGAAACTAGCAAGGGAGGAGGTCAAGGTGAGGAGAGAAACTTGCTGTACTACTCCAAGCTGGGCTTGGTGATCCCATCCAGCGGGTCTGGGTCCGGAAACCAAAGCATTGACAGAAGCGGGCCTCTTGTGAAGAGCCTCCTCCGACGGTCCCTGTCCATGGACAGCCAGGTCCCTGTCTATTCCCCCTCCATAGACCTGAAATCCCCCCAGGGCTCGGCCGCTGCATCCAAGGACGTGCCAGGCAGTATTTTCTGTGCTTTATCTCAGAAAGCTTCTTTAAAAGACGGCGGTGAAAGAAAAGCAGCCCCGGACGAGCGGCCACCAGTGCCACAGCCGCACCGCCTCCGGTCCTTCAGTGCGTCTCAGTCCACAGAGCGGGAGGGCGCCGCCCCGGGGACCGCGGTGCACATCAAGACCGAGCCCAGCAGCCCCCTGTCCGACCCCTCGGACATCATCCGAGTCACCGTGGGTGATGCGGCGGCCGCGGCCACAAGAGATTTGCCTCTGAAAACCGAGGAGGACCCGAAGGACATGAGCAGGCTCCCGGCCAAGAGGAGGTTCCAGGCAGACAGAAGGTCGCCCTTCAAGAAGGCAAAGGTCAATGAGCACAGACCCGCCGCAGCCTCGGATGACAACTTCGAGGACGGCCCGAGCCCTCCTCCCCTCGACGGCGAGTGCCCAGATTCTGACTTGAACAAAGACGAATTTGGTGAGTTGGAGGGGACGAGACCAAACAAAAAGTTTAAATGCAAACATTGCCTTAAAATCTTTAGATCAACAGCAGGCCTTCACCGCCACGCTAACATGTACCATAACCCAGAGAAGCCCTACGCTTGTGACATCTGTCACAAGAGGTTTCACACCAACTTCAAAGTGTGGACACACTGTCAGACCCAGCACGGCATAGTGAAGAACCCGTCCCCAGCCGCGAGCTCCCACGCGGTTTTGGATGAGAAATTCCAAAGAAAGCTGATTGACATAGTGAGAGAGAGGGAGATTAAGAAGGCCCTGATCATTAAGCTGAGGCGCGGCAAGCCTGGCTTTCAGGGCCAGAGCGGCTCCCCAGCGCAGCAAGTCGTCAAGAGGAACTTGCGCTCGCGAGCCAAAGGCGCGTACGTTTGTGCTTACTGTGGAAAGGCGTATCGCTTTCTCTCTCAGTTTAAGCAGCACATAAAAATGCACCCGGGAGAAAGAGCCCTCGGAGTAAATAAAGTTGCTAAGCCAAAAGAGCATGCTCCTCTGGCCAGCGCGGCAGAGAGCAAGGAGCTTTTCCCGTGCCGCCTCTGTAATGCTAAGCTCTCTTCTCTTCTAGAGCAAGGCAGCCACGAGCGCTTATGCCGGAACGCCACCGTTTGCCCTTACTGCAGCCTCAGGTTCTTCTCGCCCGGCCTGAAGCAGGAGCACGAGGACAGGTGTGAGTACAAGAAGCTGACCTGTCTGGAGTGCATGCGCACCTTCAAGTCCTCCTTCAGCATCTGGCGGCACCAGGTGGAGGTGCACAACCAGAACAGCATGGCCCCTGCCGAGAGCCTCTCGCCGCCCGCGCTGGACCACAATGGTGAGCTGCCGGCTGCTTCCCGGCCCCAAACCCAGCCTGAGCCCAGTAAGGTGAACCATGTCGCTGCACCGCCCAAGGAGGAGACCGCGTTCAGCGACTCTTCGGAGCAAGTGAACTTCGACTCGGAGGACTCCTCCTGCCTCCCCGAAGACCTCAGCATCTCCAAGCCGCTGAAAATCCAGGTGAAGGAGGAGCCCTCGGAGGAGGCCGAGGAGGAGGCTCCCGAGGCCAGCGCGGCCCCCCGGGACTCGGGCCCCGGCAGGGAGGCGGGGCTGTGGCCCTGCGAGAAGTGCGGGAAGGCGTTCACGGCGCACAGGCAGCTGGAGCGGCACCAGGAGCTGCTGTGCTCCGTGAAGCCCTTCATCTGCCACGTGTGCCACAAGGCCTTCCGCACCAACTTCCGCCTCTGGAGCCACTTCCAGTCCCACATGTCTCAGGCCTCGGAGGAGCCGGCACAGAAGGAGGCGGACGCGGGCCCCGTGCCCACCAGCTCCCCCTCGCCCCCGCCCCTGCCGCCGCCGCCGCCCCTGCCCAAGATCCAGCCCCTGGAGCCCGACAGCCCCACGGGCCTGCCCGAACACCCGGCCCCGGCCACCGAGAAGCTGTTCGCTCCGCAGGAGTCGGACACCCTCTTCTACCACGCACCGCCCCTGTCAGCGATCACCTTCAAGAGACAGTTCATGTGCAAGCTCTGCCACCGGACGTTCAAGACCGCCTTCAGCCTCTGGAGCCACGAGCAGACGCACAGCTGAGGCCGTGCGCCCCGCGGGGACGGCTTGCTTCTAAGAAGAGAGTGATAAAGGCTGGAAATGGTTACACTTGAATGTAGGCTTGAGATAAACTGGTAATAATTAGAAAAGTCCTCATGCAACTTGAGAGATAAACTGAAATACCGCAGCTCCGCCCCTCCCGGCGACTGGGGGGCTTGACTTCGTTCCTGTTGGAATTGGGTGAATCTTGCATGGTTCTTCATTCTGAGGTGTCAGCATAATCGCTTAATTGAGGTTTTTGTTTTTTTACTCATTTGTAACTAGTCTTTGGAATGCTGGCAGAGTACTCCTTCCTTTGATTATCTCAGACACCTAATTCTAGTTCAATTTTAGCCATGTTCTTAAGACCAAAAATATATCAGAAAGAAGTGGAGTCATTGCAGTATTGATTTAGATCTTAAAATACATTAGCAATAAAAAAATGATAAACCTCAACTTTAATAAATTATCCTGACACTTGATAAAAACAAACATTGGGTATTTTGTGGTCATGTAGAACTTTCTTTTTGTATGAAAATGGTGAGAAATTTAAATCAGCAATAGGCACACTTACATTTTTATAAGAGAACAGACCTCGGCCTTGGTCACTTGGTGTAAGAATGACGAGTGCTCTGCAAGAAGACAGGGTGGAAAGCGTGGTTCACAGGGCTCTGCCCGCGCTGTCCAGGCCGCTGCTGCCACAGGCGTGCTCTGAGCCCACGTGCGGGCCGTGCGTCCGCCGCACCCGGTCCCGCTTCTCCCCGTGGGAAGGACAGTGTCTAGTGACCTCTGATTCCTGCTGTCGCACATTGAAAAGCTGAGTGGAGCTGGGATAGAAAAGCTAAAGCTGATGCATGGCACTCACTCGGAGTCTCGTGTTAGTGCGGCAGCTGAGTGAGGGCGTGTGCTTAGACGGGACAGCCACTCTGCGCCCGAGCCCCTGCTCCCCGAGCCCGAAGAGCGGGGACGCCCTGCAGTGCCGCGGCTGCCCTGAGGACCCATGCGGCGCCTGCGAGTTCCTGCCGACCTCCTCGCGGCGCGCGCCCTGCAGCCCGTCCCGCCAGCTGTGAGCCACTGCTTGACGCCCCGAACTACACGCGAAAGCACTGACGCAGGGTCCAAAGTTAGCTTTGCTATTTACCGTGGTCCAGAGGGTTTGGGGGGTTTTCTGTCTTTTGTATACGTTGTAATTAAGAGAGTTCTAGAAGGTGTTATCCAAAGCTCAGCGGGGCATTTCAAAAGGAAAAACTTACTTCACTTGTGGGAGGGTTAGGTAAATAAATATTGAAACAACAAAATCCTTTTAATATAGGGACACTGATTAAGACTCCGAGTTTATACATTTTTTTAACCAGCTGTTCTTTCAATTAAAGTCAACTACTGTGATTAAGAAGTAGTTTTGAATTTGTGCTCTAGGAGAAAAGAGCTCTACCTGTCACTCTTACTACCAACATTCCGTACCAGTCGTAAGAAAGACACTCTTTAGTGAGACACAAGCATTTTTATAAATGAATTGACTTTGTATAGAAAGTATATATGAAATTTTGCCTTCTATCCTTCCACTTGAAAAAACTCAAACACAAATCCCAAAATATTTTAGTACTTACTATTTTGTTCTTCAGTTTGGTGGAGAAAGGGGAAGTAAGGTTAGGTTGCACTCACTGATTCTTGCTCTCTCTTTCTTGAAGAGACCTATGCATTTAAAAGACGAAACTGGCCTTTCATGGAGGCGGCGTCAGGGTGGTGGCTGTGCATGGGCTCACTGCCTGTGCCCCTGGTGTTTCTTGCTCAGAACACCTGGGTCCCTGTCACTTCTTTAAGAGAGCAGTTTCTGTGATCACCTGCATGGCCACTGGAGGCTCTCAAAGTCCCGTAACACATTCTGTCTTGGCATTGTGCATTCGGTATCCCAGGACTTGAACCTTTATGCTACGTTTTTGAAGGTTTTTTAAATACTCTTAATCAGTAAAAAAATATTTTTGATCTAAATATAGGCTCTGCATACCTGTTAGATTTTAAAAATTACCGGTGTTTTTGTCTTGTTCACATTTTTGTCTAGGCAAGAAATATAAGATTTCAAATAAAATTTTGAACCAAAAACATTTATAAAAGCAGTTCTGGTTTTTCTATTACTTTTTATACTGTACTTAAAAGCAGTAGGCTGAAAGAGTTTATTTTGGTGGTCAACAAAAAAGCTTCCACTGGTGTAACTATTTTAAATGTTAAGTAGGATAATGAAAGACACATTAAATGCTTTTTGTAAAGAATGTTTATCTTGGCCAGTAGGCAGATACTTGGTGTAAAATAAATTGGTCTTTCATCCTTGCAACCCTTTAAATAGTAAAGATATTCTTGTAAATGTTTTCTTCTGATTGTAATTAATTTTTAAAAAGGTAGAAAATTCATTATTCCTTGTAAGTATTCAGGATGCCTGCTTTTTTATGCAGTTGTGAAAGAATGTAAAATGTTTTAATATATTCTGTTAACCTGAGAACTTGGTTATTTTTTTTAATGTGGATGGAAGGAGTAACTATGTGTTTTTATCATTCAAAGTAAGCAATGGAGGTAACAAATGCTGTACATTTTAATTGTAATATTTCAAGATTAATAGAACACTCACCTTTAAAACTAGTATATATTTACAATTTTTCCAAAATGTACAATTCAATAACAGTGCTACTTTGTGGGGAGATATGTGTCCTCCTTGCTTTTCTGTTTCAGAAGAGGTTTTTTTTGTTTGTTTGTTTTTTGCCTTTTTGAGACAGGGTCTCGCTATGCAGTTCAGGCTGGCCTTGAACTCACTTTGTAGCTCTTGCTGGTCTTGACCACTCAGCGATCCTCCTGCCTCAGCCTCCCGAGTGCTGGGATTACAGGCGTGCACCACCGCACCTGGCAAAAGAGATCATTTAAGGCCTTGTGTACTTGCCCAGCACTAAATTGGTTCTTACCTGAATGCGTGTCGCCCTCTTGGCACCACCAAGAGGAGGCTGTGCGACAGAACGCACCCTTGCTGGGAGCGGGTGGCACGGAGCAGACCGCGGTTGGCTTCGGCTGCTCCACCTGGGTCCCCGTGTCACACGTGTAGAGCCGTAACCTGAAACCTTAAGAAAGAATATACTGGCATTTTGTTTGTACAGAAATAATTAGGTATCACGCCTAACATTTCTTTATAAACTTCATCCAGTTAACCATTATTGGAATATTAGAAGTCACTTTGTTCTGATGTCACGACATTTTTTGCAATAATTGTGAAACGCATTATTGATTTAAATAGTGCTGATACACATTTAATAAATGTTCGTAACACTGACTACTGAGGGTCTTTTTGTTGTTTTAAAAACAGGTTTTCCCCTTTTGTGGCTTTAGCACTTTAAGAAGTTTGATGTTTGCGTAGTTCCCAAGGGGGGGCTGCCCTGGCATCTCAGGAAGGGCTCTGGCTCACAAGGTATTTCCACAAGAGGGAGGAACCAAGTGGGTATTGAGGGTCTGGAGGAGAAAAACTGAAGAGTCCATGTTAGGTGTTTAAAAATTCACTTTAGAATCAGGCTTTGGGGAACCAGAGTATTTTACTGTAAATCTTTAAAATAACTGAATCCAGCGTTCACTTGTTAGTGGTGCCTGAACTTCTAGTTCCTCTTGGTCAGCACTGAGTATCGAAAGGTGATAACTTGTTACATTAATCCCAGTCTCACAGCTTTCGTTGAATAGATGCTCACTGCTCAAAGAAAAATGAGTGGTGGTGCAATTGTGTCCGTTCTGAAGTCATGCCGCAGCAGAGGAAATTCTTCAGTTTTAGGAATATGCTTTTTTGGACTGAAAATTCATAGTAAAATAGAATCATGTTAATCCATTGCTTACTTGTACCCAATTCTACTGTCTGTTTATTTTGCTGAAATCTTGACCGGGAATGATTGGAGTTAATAAATGTGCTGTATTTTGCTGAGTCGGCGTCTCCTTGGTCTGCGGGAGTGGGGGTGGCGAGGGAAGCACTCTAGCGTGGGGAGGGCGGAGGGCACCGGCCTGGGCGCCTCCAGCACTTCCCGCTTGCCGCAGAGCTAACCAGAACCCAGGCAGCAGGCTCTGCTTGGCTGTCTTTTCTCTTTCTGTTCAGTTTCGCGGTTTCTAACCTGTGTCTCACAGGGGTCGTTTTGGAGGGGTGGGGCGTGTGCATACCTGGGCTCTGAGCACCCCGTGTTGCTAAGACACTGCTGGTGCAAAGCTAGTTTTATTCCCATTTGACGGCTTCGGCGTTGCAGCCTTTTCCCTCCTACCAGGTGCCTGTCGCACCCGGGAGGAGCCCTTTCCTAGTTAGCTCTCCTCCTCCTACGGGGGGCCGAGACGGAGCGGAACGTCACCACAGGGGGGCACTGCCCCCGTTGCTGGACTGGTGGACGCACTCCACCTGGGCTTGCCTTTGTCCGTGTCCTGAGCCAGGCTTTTTGGGGAGCACCTGCACCCCACACCAGGCACGAGTGATGCCGTCATTGGAAATGTCCTGCCTGCTGTGCTGTTAGCCACCAAGTGGTGTCTTTAAAAAACAAAGCCAAACCAGTTCCTCCCGGCAGGGTTACAACAGAATTCGGAGCTTTGAGTCCCTTGTGCTCCCATCTCAGCCTTCAGCACGCGCCCAAGACGGTTGTTGCCGGTGGCAAAACCATGTCCCTCGGCCAAGGGCAGGACTTCAGGTATCGGGCAGACGGCAGCCCGTCCTCCACGGCAGGGCGCCTTGGCCATATCACCCACCTTGAGATGACACAAACCTACGCTGGCCACTTACCGTCCTGACATCCTGTCCTCCAGGAAATGCTTTGGCTGCTGGCCACCCACTCCTCCCAGGCAGACTCAGCTTCAGGAAACGCCCACGGTGCCCTTCAAGTTTCCACACGCTGGAGAGCGGCAGCCTTCGAGGCGGGGTTTCCACGGCAAGTCCCTTGCCCTCGTACACCCCGCGTGCCCGCGTGCTACCATCGCGGTTCGGGGTGTGCGACATGCTGCGTGTGTGTCTCCCGGCTGCTAAGGCGCCCACAAGTCACCTGAGTTTGTGGAGCACCCCACTCAGCTCCTAGGTTACCCTGCACAGACAGAGCAGCAGGCGCTCAGCGCTCGGGACGTGTAAAGCCCATGCACGGGGTAATACCTGCGCGCCATCCACAGGCTGGTCTCCCTCTTGCATTATGCGTTCACTCTTTGCTGCCTGCTCCTCCCTCGGGCAGCCCGGCATCTCATCTCTTTCAGTCTGAAATCTCAGCCTGACTTGCGGCCCCATCACTTGGACCAGGGTCTTGTGTCCCTTAACTGGAGTGGGGTATTTTCTCAACACCAAGCACTGCCATGTGTTTGGGGATACACTACACAGAAGCTGTGGTCTCTTCACGTCACCCCAAAGGGCAGCCCGGAGTGCCGCCTGTCCTCTGCTGACAGCATTGTTTTAATCATTTTCTCTACAGCATTTCCTACCAGTTTCTCCATGCTTGAGTGTGGTGCTGGGAATCAAACTCCCCTGAGCTAATTCCCAGCCCTTCTCCTTTTATTTTGAAACAAGTCTTGCTGAGCTGCCTCAAACTCACAACCGTCGTGCCTCAGCCTCCTGAGTAGCTAGGATTACAGGCCTGTGTCACTGCACCCAGCCTCACCCACAGCCAGTTCTACCAGATGCCAGTTAGAGCATCTGTTGATGTTTTCCACCTGGGTTATTTTATAGTCATTACCAAGTGCACACTTCATCACACCATGCCCTCATCGGTTTGTGGGGCTTTCTACTGCAAGAAAAATGTCAGCCAGCTTGAGGAGCTGCATGCCTGTAACACCAGCACTTCAGTTTTTTTTTTTTTTTGGTTTTTTGGTTTTTTTCTGGTACCAGGAATCGAACTCACGACCTCATGCTTGCCAGGCAGGCGCTGTGCCGCTGAGCTAAATCCCCAGCCCCAATACCAGCACTTCGAAGGCTGAGGCAGGAGGATTGCAAGTTCAAGCCCCACCTGAGAAACTTTGCAAAATTTGAAAAACGACTGGCATGTAGCTAGGTGGGAGAGTGCCCTTGCGTTCAGTCCCCAGTATTGCCCCCTGCCAAATTCCGTTAGTCCCGCTAATTCATTCATCCACTTGTGTCTGTGTGTGTGTAGACCACAGACTCCTACTCTGTCCGGTGGGTCACAGGCCGTTGCCACGCCCTGGTTCTCTGAGTGTTCCTCTTTCCTCCGGGCCCCTCTGCTTTCCTCACTGCCCGAGCGTTAAAGCAGCCGCTTCTCTAGGGAACCTGGCTCCCTTCTGGGGAGAGCAGTGTGGAGCCGAGACCTGAGCCCAGGGTCTGTGCTGTGGCACTCGAGGGGAATGGGGAACCCAGGCCCACCAGCAGCCAGGCACCAAGGGACACGGACATACGCACATTCGTGCCCGGGTGTATTCTGCGTCTTCTGCTTCACACGGAGATCCACACGTGCAGGGTGAGCCTCAGGCCCTGGCACCATGGGCTGCGGCCTCACTTCTCCTGGGCGGGGAGAACCGGCCTGTTCCCTTCACCCTGTTAGCCACTCGGGTCTGCCTCCACGCTCAGCCCTCCACCGCCCCAGCAGAAATCTACCTAGCAGCTTTTTGATGAAGGGAGGGAGGAAGGACCACAATCATTTCCTTGTCTTTTTCTCCTTGAAGTTCTTCCAACGTTGGCTTCGTGTGTTTCAGCACTGTGATGTGGGCGCATAGAGAGGACTGATGTTCTTATTCCTCTTATCACTTCCTAAAACGACCTTCAGTATCTACTCTAAGACCCTCTTCACTGTACCAGTGTAACTACCCTTGCTTTCTTTTAATCAGCCTTAGCCTTTTTAGTCAGCTTTTGGTTACTGTAACAAAATACCTGAGATTAAAAAAAACTTCAGAAGAGGTTTATTCTGGCCCAAGGTTTCAGAGATTTCAGTCCAATTTCTTTGGGCCTGGTGAGGGAGCACATCATGGCTAGAGAAGGTGGCAAAACCTTCACTTCATGGTTGGGCAGCAAAAGAAAGAGGAAGAGGAAGAGGAAGAGAAAGAGGAAGAGGAAGGGCTGGAGTCCTCTGAGACCACACTTCCAATCACCTACAACCCCCCCCAGGCCCCGCCTCTTAAAGGTGCCACCCCCTCCCAATACACAGCACTGAGCTGAGGATTAAACTTCTAACATACAGGCCATTGATGGACATTCCAGATCCAAAATACAGCAAGCATGATGTATTTTTCCATTCTTCTGCTTTTAGACTGTTTGTGTTACTACATTTAGTTTGTCTCCTGTAGTCAGCATATATTTCAGTATTGATTTTTTTTTAGTCCAGTCTGATACTCTGCCTTTCAATCAGCATATTTAGATCATTTACATTTAATGTGATTGTTTATATGGTTGGGATCAAATCTACTATCTTATCACTCATTTTTCCTTCTACCCCATCTATCTTTTGTTCCCTGTTTTATCTTTTTCTCCCTTCTTTTAGGTTAGCTGAATATTTTTTATGATTCCATGATGTTACAGTTTATACCTAGATGTCCCCAAAGCCTCATGTGCGCACATGTGGGGCTTTGGTCGGGGGGTGATCGGATCATAGGGGTATGATATTCATTAGTGGATTCGTCCACTGATGGGTTTATAGCTGAATGTGATGTTGAGTGACGACTGGTCAGGGGAGGTGGTCATGAGGGGTGTGGCCTGGAAAGGCCCATCTCCCTCCTCCCTCCTTGATCTCTCTGTGCTTCCTGCTGCCATGCCATGGGCAGCTCTCCTCTGCCAGGCCCCTCTGCCATGCAGCCCTGCCTTGATTGGAATCTCCACAAACTGTCAGCTAAAATAAAGTTGTGTTATTGGACATTGTGTCTCAGTGACAGGTGCCCAGATGCTGAGCTCTCTTGCTGGCTTACAAACTGTCCCCGTATTATGGTTTCCACGGGGCTTGCAGCCAGCGTCTCCAACTTACCACACCCTACTCTTGTGTCACCTGCGCTGCTGTCCGGCCTTGGCCCTTCGGTTGGCAGTCAGTCATTCACTTCTGTGGATGGCAGGCCTGGCATGGGTTGCTGCCACCTCTCCTCAGTCGGAGGTTGAGCCCGCAGGAAGCACAGCCGTGGGACTCCCGTGTGCATTTCCTCCTCAGCGCTCGACTCTTGCCTGCAGGGCCATGTTGGCGCTGGCTTCATTTCCTTCTGCCTGGAGGACATCAGCACTCCTCACGGTGGATGTCTACCATGCTGGATTCGCTCTGCTGTGTGTGTCTAAGAAGTTACCTCCCTGACTCTGGATGATATTTTTTGGTTTGTGGATTTTGGTTTACCCATTGATAACATTTTTTTTTTTTTAAAGAATGAGCATAGTCAGGTTGTCTCAGTCATAAGGATTTCCGGGTTTCGTCCTTGAAGGGGTTCAGGGTCTTCAAAAGGCCTTGGGCACCAAATATTCCTCCAGTCTTCAAAAGTAGAGTCCTGTGTTTTGTCATGTTCTGACTCTAAAGATGTCATTCATTTTCACCTTTTTCCCCAACTCAGGACCAGTTTTAATCTCCACAGTTCCATATCGGATTTGGGAGAGCTCACAGGGACCAAAGAGCCTCCGCTGTGAGCAGCGGCGTGGGGACCCCGCAGCCGAGGGCCTTGATCTTGAGCCAAGCTCCCATCACCCCAGCGAGAACGTGACAGAGACTTCCGCCCGCTTAGGGCCCCTCCGCGTCGACCCCACGGCCCCCTGAATTCAGCGGCTTTTCCTCTGGAAATGTTTTGCTGGGCGTGGAATTCTCCACTGGTGGTTTTGCTTCTCGGTGCTCTGAGGGTTCTGCCTCCTGGTTTCTACCTCAGGCCGTGTTCAGTGAGGAGCCCGCTGTCCTCGGTCCCCTGTACACTGATTACTCCGGCTGCTTCTAACTCAAGCTTCCTCCCGGCCTGCTGCTTTTGTGGTGTGTATGTGCAGTGCACGTGGGTTCGCTTAGTTTCTTACATTTTTTTAGTGTACAGGTTTTTTAACCAACTTTGGAAGGTTTCCAGCCGTCATCTCAGAATGTTTTCTATCCCTGCCCGCTCCTTCCTCCCTGGGAAGACTCCAGGTGCAGATATCGGCC